AAGCCCCAGCTTGGTCATTCTCCCGTGACCAAGGGTTTCTTCTCCACACCAGTCGCTGCTATTTATGGCGGCCACAAAGTACTTCCTTTATTCCAACCACACTGCACCAAACGATTTTGACTCAGTCCCATCTTCTCCTCCCAGTTCATTCACAGCTGAAGGCAAAAAGTGAGCACTACCTGATAAATAATCCCTGTTACAGCAGGGTTTGCAGCTGTCAAAGACTTATACTCGAAGCGATGCACAGAGGAAGTTCAGGGGAAGACCAGTATCCTACAGACTCCTCGGCTTGTCCTACCGGGCAGACGCTGTAGTTCTCCAGAGTTGTGAAAGTCGCTTTGGTACCTCTCCACATCTTCAGGTGAAGGCTGTAATGGTAAGTCCCTCTTTGGGGAGGAGGCTTGAACCAGTGCCCAGACTCAGAGCTGCAGACGTAGCTCTCAACGCCGCAGGAGCGGCCAAGTTACGCTGCTGCTCTTGTCTGGGCATCCAGCATTACCAGCTCTGGCGGTGTACTCCAAAACATTGCTCTTCAGCTGAAAAAAAGACAAGCCCTGCTGGAAGGGGCAGAGTCCTCAAAGAGCTTTCATTCCACTTTTGTCTTGTCCGAGTTTGCTTCAACTGTGAAGTTTTCCTAATCGACTGATCCTTCCAGGGCATCAGATGTGCGTTAATGAGATCTATGCGCTGGATGTGGAAGGGGATGGGGGAGGGAAATCTGTACCACCAAAACCAGCACAAAATTCATCACAAAGGGCGTGCTTTGCCTCCACATCTCCCCAGAGAATATTCCTTGCCTAAGGAGCAACAATCTATTTACTATTTATTTGGGCCTCCACAAACTTAAGTCTTTCCCCAGGGCTCCAAAGTCACCCTCGCATCAGGATTAATTAATTGTCAAAATCTACAGCTCTTCCCAGAGTCCCCATTCCCACTGCAGCTCCTCACCAACTCACACACTCCTGTTGCCTTCCTACAGCACCCCACTGACCCTCATTACTCTGGGATCGCCGCTGAGGAGCCACCACTACGTTCACAGCACCTCCAGCCCTGTTTGATCTCTCCCACATAAGCAGAAATTCTT